TGTTCAAACTGTTCAATAAAAACAATTTGTATAGGTAAATCTATTTTCAATTACATGGGAAAGAAAATATTTCCATGTAAAAATCAGACCAAAATGAAAAGTCAAGCTATTTATGTTATATTACTATTCTTGCTGAAAATCAAAAAAAGGCAGAATTATGTATACCTTTTAAAGAGGACATATTCAATTATTTAATAAATGAAGATTAATTTTTAAACTTAAATTAATAAACCATAATTATGTCATAAAATAGTTTTATAAAAATTAAAATTATTCTAATCACTTATAATTCATGCTTATAAATATTACCATGGAAAACCATGGTAAAAATTACCATGGAAAAATTTTGTATATTAAGCAGCTTTTTACAGTTAGTTATAAGTAAGACTAAGAAGGTAGGAAAGAGGATCTTTCAAACAAATTCACGTCACCTAAAGTACACTAATAATTGCTTCAAGGGTACAACAGTTTCGTAGATTGCTTACTAAATGAATCCCAAGTAGTAATATATTTAAAATCAGCAAAAAGATAAGGCAAAAAGACAATAAAAAATGCAGATGTTGATTAGTTATCTTTTCAGATACATTCAGTGAAAGAAAATTTTTTGAATATCTTTCCAAATGGTCAAGTTACATTTTGGAAAAATTAAAAAAAAAATTTCTATTTATTTTAAAATTTTAAATAAATGAAAAGCAATGTATCTTTAAGACATTAATATTTGCATCAAAATTAAAATCATTAAGTGCTATAAAAATTGGAATACACCATCATGTGGTTATCTGAAAGGAATACAATTTATAGTTATTGAATTTTTCCAAACCATAGTTCAGCATTATCTTATGTTTTCAATTTTAACCTACCCTCATTTAAAAATGATACATTCTAAGACTACGCTTAATTATTCAAACAGCTTGAAAATATAAAAAAACATTAGAGGCATCAAGATGTATTCCATTAATATTTTACAAAATATGTGTTACAAACATTTTATACTCACCTTTAAATGATAATAATTATTAATTTTATTATTAGCATTGTTAAAGGTAAGACTTAACATGGAAAGATATTAGCTACTCATAAATTTTATCCATGAAGTTCATATTTAACTAGACTGTGTATATTATATCTGCCAGCCTACTTAGATCAAGATAAGAAATTTTATTTTTCTTTTAAAAAATATTGGATTACAACAGACTAAAGAAAGAAGAAAGAAAATGGAGAAAGAGAAGGGAAAATAGATAACAAAACACTTTGGGGCTAGTATGGTGAATAATATATCCTTGCTTACTTTCAATGTGCAAAACATAACTCATTGCATGTTTGGTTCTCAATAAATAATTACTGAATAAATGAATAATTTCATAAAAGTTTACTTTATTTTTAAAATTAAAAAATAGATGAAAGGCACAATTATAAGTATAAATAAATTGAATTTCTCTATGTTCTCAGGCATATCTTATGATAAAAATCTAGGAATATTTTATGGCTAATTGTAATAAATTAAGTAAGGTGTTTATAGCCCAACTGAATAAAATCTTTTTCTTGAGAAAAATGAAGAAGAATTAATTCCAAGAACCTAATTTATCACAATAAATAAAATGTGTCATTCTAATAAACCCCATAATTATTTGATAAACATAATTCTTTCAAATTATAGAAAAATATAGTTCTTTTTTTACTCTTTATGATAGACTTATAAATTGGTCAATGAAATCAATTTCATTATTAATTTAAATCAACAGAAAGAAAGAATAGGTAGATGATAGGTAGATATAGGTAGGTGGATATATGATATGTAATAGAAATACATGATAGATGATGATCATAAATAGATGATAGGTGATAGATGATATATAGAGATGATATATAGATGATAGATGATAGATAGATAGATAGATAGATAGATAGATAGATAGATAGATAATAGATATGTAAATAGATAGATAATAGATAGATATTATGCCAACAGGCAGTACATGATTCTTTGGAGATACAAACCAAAAACATTAGATTCTGTCCTATAGGAACTAAGATTCTAATAGGGAGAGAGGCATCCACACATAGAAACGAATAAATAGGAATAAAATGTGTGCTAAGGGAGAATGGAGATAGGCAGAGCCCTTACAGAAAAAAAGGTATCTAGGCTTAATGTGGTTTGAAGTGGGTAAAATGTCTTTCCAACTTTCTCAAAGCGGGAGGAAATGTTTTCAGAATGATGATAGTACCTGAAATCAGCTAAATAAAAAAATAAATAAATAAGGTGAGATATACATGTCATACATTTTTCATTGGAATAGGAAATGAAACCTAACACCATCTTGTGGAAATAGCTGTGCGTTGTGCCCAAACCTATTATATCTATTAATTAATTAGGTAAAGTTTTCTGGGCAAGCTGTGCCTAGTCTTGAGTGCCTAAACAAAAAAGACTAGTGGGAGTTTGCCAAGGAGGAAAATGGGCAAGGTTTGCTTAAGTCAGATGGAAGAGGATTTGAAATATCTGGATGACCTTGGAAAATTAAGAGTAATTTAGTGTGGCTAGAGTAAAGGTGCCAACTAGGGACAAGAAAAAGATAAAACTACAATGATGGACAGAGACAGATCCTGAAGTGCCTCACCCACTAAATTAAGGAATTTGAATTTCATTAAGAAAGTGATGTGGTGACAGGATGTGAAAAAATTGAGGAATGTAACTAACAGTGCTCATGTACTATCAACACAGTTGTTTCTTTCCAATGCAGTGTTTCAACTGTTTCCATCAAAAAAGATATTTATTTCCTTTTCTAATTTTTTAGAAGGTCATACAGGTACACAGAAATTCAAGAGAGCTGGTTGATATATTAAAACTCCAACTAAACTATTTATTTTTAATAACAATGAAGAATTAAATCTCCACATCCTTTGCTTTTTTGTTTTAAAACAGGATGTTTATAAAATAATTGTATAGGAAGACATGACCTAGGTAAATCATACGAATAGGACACAAAGAGACAAGGGCAACAGAATATCATATATTGGAAAAATATTAATTAATTTGTTTTATTTTAATACTGTGATATAACTGAAAGAAAATCATTACATGTAGATGATTTGAGGTTCCATCTGAAAAACCCAATTCCTCTTATAATTTTTGGACTAATTTTAAGCATCAACTAACCAAATATCACCTGTATTGATAAGTTATAGTAAAAATGGAAATTAATTCATTAATATTTTTTGTCTTTGATTATTTTTTTGGATTTCATTTTGAAACTCATTTTGACACCATGAAAAGGATCATAACATAAAATGCGTACTTAGACCTGATCATCAATCATACCAGTACAACAAATATTTGAGTTAGTCAAGTCAGCAGATATAATCTCCCTGAATGTTGTGGGAAAATAAATCATATGGTTCTCCAAATTTTCCAAATTTTGAATTTCATAGTTTACTCATCAAAATACATTATTTCTAAGTGGTAAGTACAATATTCAAGTAAAAATGTATAAATGCTCTGTCCAAAATTTTGATTTCAAAAAAAGACAAGTAATTGCGACATAAATTACTAAAGACAATGAAAAATGTTTTTGGTTTTCCAAAATAGGTTTAAGGGTGTAAGTGCTACAGAGGGTACTAGCAGAATATATTTGCCTTATATTCATACATAACATTATTTTTAAATATATATTTCCACTCTTCATATTTGAAAAGTTCATAAACATCAGATATTAAAGAGAATATAATATCACTCTGATGCAGGGTCTAAAATTTAAACCATCCAAATGTTTTTTTTTTTTTAATTAAAAACAAAAGAGATGGCTATATTCAAATGTCTAAAATAAAGTGGCAGATTTTAAAGCATTATTTTGTGTCCACAGCTATAAATTTACATGTAAAAAGCATCATATACCATCTAAAAAAAGATTTTTTATAGATATTCACCCTTGTACTTATAGAACCAAGGAAATTATAGCACTAGAAATATATAATCTAAATGAAGTTCACAAACTTTTCAAGAATACAATATAAAGGCATTTTACATAAATGTCTTTATAGAATATAGAGAAAAAGTACAACAGTCTTAATATTTTTGAGTTTATATATATTCTTCAAAAGACACTGGTGCAAAGGAATAAAAGGCACATTAAAAAGGCACATTTCTTTTTTACCATTTAACATTAAATGGTAAAAAAAACACAATATTTTCACACATTTATTAATTTTAAAAAATTAAGTGTAATTTTTTAAAATTAATAAATGTGTGAAAATATTGTGTTTTTTTTACACATTTATTAAAATGGTAAAAAAGAAATGTGCCTTTTTAATGTGCCTTTTATTCCTTTGCACCAGTGTCTTTTGAAGAATATATATAAACTCAAAAATATTAAGACTGTTGTACTTTTTCTCTATATTCTATAAAGACATTTATGTAAAATGCCTTTATATTGTATTCTTGAAAAGTTTGTGAACTTCATTTACACATTTCTTTTTTACCATTTAACATTAAATGGTAAAAAAAACACAATATTTTCACACATTTATTAATTTTAAAAAATTAAGTGTAATTTCTACAATGTGAGTTAAGATTTTTTTCAATTAGAAATTTACTGGACTGAAGATCTTCAAATAAAATTTTCATTAACTCAATAACTAGAAACTGTGGCGAAGCATTTTTTCCTTCATATTATAGTTTCTGGTTTTTGCTTACATCATCAATTATATTCCTTCTCCATTAAACTAACTGAAATGAACTTCAAGTAACAAAGGTCTCTACTTTTAAGGCTTCGATAAGAGGAGAAATAGTCACTTGTCCGGAAGCTGGCTTCAATTAAATATACTACATTTAAATGAAAAATCACAAAAGTGATCATGAGTTCTTTCTGTGAACCTTTGTTATATAATGAATGGCAGAGAACAATTAACAGTCGCAGTTCTAAAGACTATACTTGTATGGAAAGATCAAAAATAGTTTGTTTTATTATAACAATAATTATTTTAAACCATAAGAAAGTGACATTTACCTTTTCCAATTGAGCGTTTTTTTTGGATTTGTATAAAAATTCTCCCACTGCCACAAACACTGAGAGCACCAAGCCGGCTGCCAGAACAATGAAGATGCCACCAATATTTTGAACCCCCAGGGCACTGGCCTCTTTGCTCTCTTCCTCTGGGCAACCATTGCCCCTCCACCACTTCTCCTTCATCATGTGCAGCTTGCCTTCCTCTTGCAGCTGAAGAATTGCTATGGTGATTTTGTCTCTATATGGAGAACCTAAGAAAAAAGAGGGTATGTTAACTATTTCAAGGAATCCAGAATTTCATAACTAAAGGTTAACATGATGACAGGAGGACAGAGCTTTTTCCAAATGCTCGAAATGCTGCCAATGTTTATTTTTAGTAGAGAAAAACAACTGGAAAATGAGAGAGAATAAAAGTTAAACAAGATAAATAAGGCAGATGGTAGTTCTGATTTTAAAGGGTAAAACGAATTTTGTATTTATGGAAGAAGATGTCTCCTTCTAAAAAGCAGATTTGACTCAGAGCATTGTAAAATAAGGAAAATACTAAGTAGCAATTTACGAAAGGAAATGGAGAGAGAGCAAAGATATTTAGTTAATGTCTAGGAATCATTCTACACTGAAACAGAGTATTGATCAAACAGTAACCTCTACTTTTAGAAAAGTTGTGGGGAAAAAATGGTGTTTCCTTTGATTATGTCAATAATTCAAGGTACTTACGATTAACAAGCTGTATTTGGGGACAGGCAAACCTTTGTAGGTTACAGGTAATTTTTTTTCTAATTTGACATGAATAACAGAAACAGCTTTGTAGAAACTTGGATCATTCAAATATCACCACGGCAATGCATTGGAAGATTTTCTGGTTGTCTACCATTTGTGCTTTGGTAGGAAATATTCTTTTCAGTGGAGGCAGCAATTTAAATGAAATTTAGTATGTATGCTGATGGGGGTAAATATTTATCTGCATTAGCTATTATATGATAAGTAATAACTTTTCTAATTGGTTGTCCAGAATCATAGAATAATATTGAACTACATGCATCTTTCAATATTTGTCCTGAGGGATTGGTTTTATTGCCTTCTCCCACCCAGAAATAGCCTATTTCTAAAATTTAATCTACTTTCCTAAAACACTAAACTGCACATTCCATTTTTTCTGCACAAATTCACCCATAAATTCTTTTCTGCTTACAGTAAAATGTTAATTTCAGCTTGTAGTCAATGTTGTCTGTGATCTTGTTTTGACTTAAATAGACCTACAACTATATCTAAAGCTTTATTTCTGCTAAGAGCAATTAAAAACCTGGTCAGAAAACTTTTCTGCCTCGTAAGAACATTACTATATATTTTGATTTTACTTGATTAACATAATAGAATTACTTTAGCATTACTCTTTTAGCAAGAATAGGCAAGCTAAAGGTAGAAAGACAAGGAGAATCATAGGAAGTAGCCTGATAAAAAAGTTGGAAGATTGAAAATCAAACAAATGCAGCTGGAGAGATGTTTCTTTAATATAATTCCTAATCTACTCTGAAGAAATGTTTAAGTTACGTGGCTTCATACAACATTTTCCACAACTTTCCTAAAAATAGGCATTATCCATTCCTATAATTAGAACTCAAATATTTTATTTTTGTTGTGCATTAATTCCTAATTATACCCGAGAAATTCCTGCTTCTCACTTTCTTTCCTGTGCTCTCTTCCAAATACTATCGTGATGAAAATGTTCAGTTTAAATTCTGTTCCTTAGCCACTTCAGATCTAAAGGAATTAGCTCAGAAGACAGTACTTTCTACCTTGGTCACTCACCTGGACACTCAGCCTAAGTCAAATAGTATTGTTTCTATTTACCTTTCAAGATGTGAACTACTTTTCTGAGTAGATTATAAACTCTTTGGGATAGAGGATATATCTATCTATCTATTATCTATTTATCTATCACCTATCTACTGATCTATCATCTATTTATCTATCTATCTATATTAATATATCATCTATTCCTATCTATCATTTATTTTAATTCTCAATCTTTTCTCATGGAACAGGCTTTCAACAAATGTTTTATATTATAAGGAGCATAATATATGCTTGAAGCATATATTCCTAACATAGTATAAGAATGACAACCTGGTGCGTTTGGTCTCTCTGACACGTATTTAAAATCATAAATTAAGGCCATCTCATTTGTCTATCTAGTTTTCATTAATTCACTACATCTAGCCTAACAAGAACTCCAAGGGCACTTTTACTCAGCTACCATTCTGATTAACCATGTCCATTCCTTGCAAAATAAGTATTTGAGGGGAAAAATCCATTTTAAGCAGAATTGTAGTTTATCAGATATGTCCTTCAATTAGAAATATAGCAACTGAAACAAATTTTGTGCTGATAGTACTTGCAAAAATGGTCACATGTGGCTAATATAAAAATAGGGATTCTTTTCTGGAAGTACTATTATAAGCAAAATTTTAGGGGATAGTGACTTGAAAAGTAGACTTTAAAATATGAAAACAATCTTGATTCAGCCAAGTAATATTTTGAATCAGCTCATTTCTCATCATGAGAAATATTAAAAGAATATTATTTTATTGCCAACTCATCATAAGCACTGAATTGCATTAAGATGTTTATTCTAATATCTTCAAACACAATAGTCTCCACTACATTTTCAAAATAAAGCACAGAAAAACAAAAGCAAACCACTTTCAACAAATGATGAACACATCCTGCCCTTGCTGGCTGAGCTGCTTATTTCTAGCATATATTGTAAATACAACATTTTCCCATTGCTGACAAATCTTATCACCTGTTTTCCAGCGTAACTATAGTAATGTGTGAATGGCATTTGGTTGAATCAAAGCTGCAAAGTTAGTATACCACATTTTGAGGTTTTTAACAGGGTGGAATAATACAAGGAATATAATTGATGACAATAAATCTTTGCCATGTTTTACTTGTCACTCTGTCATTGACTTAGTTTAAGTAATTATTTTTTAAAAGAAACAATAATTCAACAATGAATTACTTCTTTGGTTTGCTATTTAATGCTTCTTGCAAGGCATTTCTATATAGATACTAGTTGAACAAATGTGGACAGAAATTTCATATATTTGAAAAATCTCAAGGACATTTTGAGATCAAAGAACAAAAGTATCTTTCATCCTCCTTGTGACATGAACAGCCATGTGCTTAGCTCTAATGAAGTGAACAGCCATCATTAGTTAGATAGATAGAGCTTATGTTTTGCCCAAGTCACAACTCAGCCTCAATACATATGCTGGCAAGCTAAGAACTAAGACTACATTGACTGGCAAATGAGAGAAGCTGGGTTTGCAGACTGTAAGGCTTCCTCCAAGGAAGATGTGTATTTTTGCAAGAGGACTCTAAGTTTGACTAGAAAACTACTAAGGAAATTGTAATTATGTCTATCATAACATGAATTATTGCACCTAAATGTCAATCCTCAAATGCTTAAGGAGGCAGACAGAAACCCATAAATGAGTGAAGAAGCGAGTTAGATAAAGATATCTGGAAAATTTAAATATCCAAAATGGAAAGATAACTTTAAGTTCCGGTATTATTAAAACTCTGTGAGACTTTCAACACAGAGTTATCAGATATTTTAATTTTTCGTGAGATCACATGAAATATTTTGTCTAAAATTCTCTACATTAAAATGTTGCCAAGTGAATAATTTTTTAAAAACATGCAGTATAAGTCAAATAACCTCTTAAAGCTGAATTTTGCTCTTCGATTTTTACTATACAATCTCTGATTTTTTATTCTTTTATAGTTTTGATTGCAATGAGATTTTCTTTGGTTATTTTAACATATACTTCATACTGATAGTGAGGAACTATATTATGTTTTTAAAACTGGTCTTTTTACAAACTGTCAAAAGATACTATTTACCAGGTAAAAAAGTTCTAAAAGAGAGAGAGAGAGAGAGAGAGAGAGAGAGAAATCTTCTCTATTCATTAAAGAGAAAAAGGAAAAAAAGTTAAAAACTTCTTTAAAATAGTTAGATTTGTTTTTAGGGGGAGAATTTTTTTTCTTCGCATCTATTAATGTTTCATCAATTTTATTTTAACCCCAATTTGAAAAGCATCACCTTAGATAACAATAAATTCCACTGTTACTATATCTGTTCTCTCCGCAAAAAAAAAAATATTTTGTTCCTTGTTAGAATTTTCTGCATATCCCTGCCTAGATATCTTCATCCCTGTCTTTGAATTTATATATTATTACAGCTCATCAAGTTGCATTTTTTGTATGCTCTTTATCATCTATTGCTCCATGTGCTTCATGAAACATCAGCTCATAAGAATTCATAACACACCAATCACTTTAAGACATGTCTCCACACCTGGCTTTCAAGTCTCTTTACTTTTGGGACAAGAGTTATAAGAGTTATTTAAATATATTTGTATATCAAAATTAATAAAACTAATTTTTGGAAATGAAAAAAGTACACAGCCTTTGTTCTTCCTAATAGCACCAAATCCTTTAATATTTTGCTAAAATTCTAAGTATTGTTTTGCATAATGACAAATCCTCTCTATCCAATTCCTAAAGAACTTTAGTTTCATTTGTTTTATATTTTGTAGTTATTCAGATCAATATTATGATAGTATGTGCTGTGTATGACACAGATTTAGGTAACATCCTGGTAGTTGTTCTCTTTGAGTCTGAGAAGAGATGTTACTATGAAGTAGACTACTCATAATTTTAGGTTTCTTCTAGCTTGTCATGATTCCAAGTTAGTGTTTACTTTCTGAAACATAGTAACTTACATGTCTTGTGGATAGGTGACTATACCATAATCACTAAGCATATAGTTTTCCAAGGACTCGCCTCAAAGAACTTCAATAATTACTTAATTATTCCTCTTCTTTGAAGGAGTTGAATCTGATAAATGTTTCTAAGATATATATGCAAAAACTTGAAGGCCTTTAAATTTTGGCTTAAGATCAGACCACCTGTCAGTTATAGGTTATCAATCATGCATTATTCATCTTATTTCATTCAGTATCTACCACAGTGCATATCACACAATAAGTATTCAACAATACTTTTTGAATGAGATATTGAACCAATTATAATATATAAATTATGCATTAGCCCAAAGAAATCATGGTAGAACATCTGCACATGAACATTTCAGGTTCTTATTAAATTTAGTAGAATAGGTAACATCCACATACTTAGTTCACACTTCTAGTACTGATCACTTGAAATAAATTAAGGTGAC